TGGAGTTCTAGCTGTATGGAGTTTGCATGTTCTCCCCATGTTAGTGTGGGCTTCCTCCAAGTGCTCCAGTTTCCAAAAACATGCTGGTAGGTTCACTGGCGTCTGGAAAGTTGCCTCTGGTGTGAGTGTGCGTGTGTCTGTGTCTGTATGTACCCTGCGATAGACTGGCGTCCCATCCAGGGTGTACCCTGCCTTGCGGACAAGACTGAGTTACAGCATGAGACAGTGACTTCACACATCCCCTTACCATTCTAACTCCTGATGTTGAGTCCCAGTTCAGTCCAGAGCCTAAATAAACCAGGGAACTAATGCTTCTGGCCAACCTAATTTAAAACTGGCCTTCATCTGAAATGAGTAAACCAGCACACCCAAGAAAAATGCTACGTACTGTAGGTGTCTACTTCTGTGGCGGGATGGTTTGGCTTTGTCTTGCTGACACTAGGTGGCAGCAGAGTGCCTAGAAGTTTCTTTGAGGATTGATGCTATCACCAGCACACCATGTGATGGGCACTTCAGGATAACCAAGGCAGAACATGACAACCATTTCACACAGGAGGGAAACAAATCAAAGCTCAATCAACATCCAGCAGAGCTTCATGTTCTACAAACCTATGAAGGGCTTCCTGGTGGAACTGGTCTTTCTGTCATCTGAAGGGCAAGTGCTTACTAACAGCTCTTCTGAATGGACCAAACATCCAAAATCACTTGGATAGGAAGTGAGGTGATGAACTTCACTAGAGCTGCAACCCCACAAGAGAGGCCTTTGATAAAGCTTCACTTTCACTGTGTTCAGTCAATCGCATCTAGAGCTGAGTAAAAAGAAGGTACAGTACATACCACATCAGAGTTGCACAAAGGCAGCCTAAAATACTGGTTTAAGAATGATTAGTCAAACAGAGAGCAACCCACAACACACAACAATGTGGGGGTGAGTTTAATGATGATATTAGGAAAAAGCAATAAGTCTTAAGCAGCCACAAATCATTGGTGATACTTTTATAAAATTAAAGACAAACAAATGTAAAGGAAGTTCTATACATTTCCTTGTGAGTCTATTTTCTTCTTTGGGTGTGGTATTTAAGATACAACCAGTGTATCATCATCATTAACTACACATAATAATAAATATTGACTCTTAAACTGCAAAATGTGATGCACTCAAGGTCAGTAGTAAAATGTAGTTTTTGTGAAAAATGGTTCTTGTCCTCTTTCGAAATCACATGGGATAATACAGTATTTAAGGTTGAGTAGGAAAGAAGCACAAAACGTGTTATCGGGTCTTAAAACTAATATCCTTCTTCTGACACACATATTGTTTTTCATCACAGTCCAATGGCATTTGATCGTGCTGCGTGATGTGTGTTCTCAGAAAAAAAATGATTTTGTCGCATCGTAATGATGAACCCATAGGATGCTATTTGAAATAGGAAAAGCATGACGTGGGGTCGTATTTGCGGGTGATACTGTAGTGCTCAAGATACCTGTCTTATTTGTGATTAGGATTGTGGGATATGGAACCGAGTCTGCAGTTTCCTAAATGCAGCCCTTCGAATGAGTTGCACAATGGTAGTAGGTGGCACTACAGGTTGCACTACAGTTGGGGATTAAGTGGGTCCCCACCCACCGCAGCGCTCTTCCACTGCAATGAAGAATGCAAGGTCGTTTTCAATTATGTGATCTGACCACTGAGTGGTGACGGGACACTCGTGGCCTTTGAGAACACTTAAGTTATGACTCAACAACAGGAAAGGCTAATGTCCTAGGAGCACAGAGGAGCACTGTCTGATGTCAGAGAGTGTCTTAAGAAGAGAGATGTACAAGTACCAAAGGCATATCCCACACATTGATCCCCTGTATGGGACACCTGCTTTGAAAGCCCTCCGTTACAAGGAAGCCTGACTCACGTATCTGAATGGGCTGAAGGTGACGCGAGACTGGAGATAATTAGTTTGGAGCAGGTGAACAGGCAGAGAGCGAGCTGTGGGCAGAGTGACGGCAGCGAGAGCCTGAAAGACTATTCCCGGGTATAATCTTGCCGCTCAAATGCTCTTTTGCTGCACTCTGACTTTTGGAAGGTTTGAAGTTGCTTTGTCAGAGAGCGAGGTGCGCAGTGCAGAACGCATTTTAGAAATGTTTTTCCTCCAGGGAAAAACGAAGGTTGCTGCTGGAAGAGGTGTTAGTGGGGCCAGCAGGGGGCGCTCACCCTGCGGTCCATGTGGGTCCTAATGCCCCAGTATAATGATGGGGACACTATACT